AGGAGCGTTTGTTTCCTGGGTAGATGTTAGGAATGTTGGGCGTGTGTGTGGGAGAGCGTTTGCTGGGGGACGATGAGAAGAGGGAAGGGGAGGGTGGAATTACCAAATCCTGCGCCACCTGTTATACCTGAGCCGTGTTTTTCGTGGGGGTTATGGTATGGGGTGTGAGAGTCTACGAGACCGAGACGTGTGGTGCTGTGTTGGTCTTGGAGGTCTTCTGCGGTGTAGTCTGGGGCTGTGCGGTTTCCGTAACCTGCCATGTTTGCTTGCGATTATGTGATAACTTTGGGTGTTTGGGTGTATGTTCAGGTTGATATCACTCGATATCGGAAAGTATGGACGGTAGGTAGTAGATAGTCTTATGTTACCACGAATACGCGGAGATCCATCGTGGACTATATATCGTTCATGCATGCACCCTTCCTTTACTATCTGCCGTGTGCTAGCCCGAGCATAACTGGCATGTGTTAAGGAGTCAAAAAGCCTTATGAGGTCACCTTGCTGGGGGAGGCGTAGATCATGCGATCAGAAGCTCTATAAGAGGGTGGAAGACCCGGCCAAGGTGTGCTTGGTATTCCTTGTAGTACGCTAAGTTCCGCTTATGTGGGTCGGAGGAGATAGTGGCTAAACTGAATCCTACGTGCAGCTGTCGATGCTATGCAAGTTTGCGATACCGGGGTTGCTTTTGATAGGCCCTTGCATACTTTTGGGTCGAACGAGCCGTCGGGTTCAACTTCACGATGGTTCCTTTTTCACGCCTTGAATGCGTGATCAGGACTTGTAGGTCGGCACTGATTGGATCGATTTGTTGTAAAGATTGAGGCCAGAGATAAAGCTGACATCCCGAAATGGTGGTCGTCGCCGCTGATCCATGATAGCGATAAGAGTCCCGCTAGGTGCTGTTCCGTCACTGGCTACTCCGTGTCTGCCAAGATCTGGGGTATCCCACACTCCCTAAAGCCCATCTGAAAGATCCAGAACCTGTACGCCAAGGTGTCTAACGCCAGCAGTGCAATGCATGATAATCGAGATTCGGAAAGGACGAATAGCTGAAGGTGATGACCTCATCGGATATATTTGGACTGTCGCGTGGTGTTAGAAGTATACTTGAGGCTCAATCAAGAGGCACATACCATGAATTTCTTGTGGAAGTCGGACCGTAGCATGTCGTTGATGAATTCCTTCTTCTTGTTCCTGTCTTCGGTACCTCGTGCTTGGTTCTTGAACACGACATCGTCGTCCCATCGTCGCTTCATGGTGAAGTCTTTCGCGTTGAGCAGGGGGTTGCCTCGGGCGACGTCGATTTCGCGCTGTTGTTCCTCTTCTGCGGCACGTTCTGCCTCCTCTTTGGCTTTGGCTGCGGCGCGCTCCTTCTTGATCTTCTCTAGCTCGCGCATGAGGGCCGCGGTTTCATCCTCTTCGTCTTCATCGCTGGAGATTGTTAGTCAACGAATTCAGTATTGAATGTAACTCAACTTACTCATCATCGCTGCTCTCACTCTCGCTACTGCTGTCGTCGGCGTCCACGTCTCTGAACTTTTCCAAGACTTCTATGCGCCGCCGTTTTTGAGCTGCTTCATCCTCTTCCCCCTCTTCGGCTGCCGGTACAGCATCGATCTGACGCTTGTGCGCATTGCCAGACTCAGCTGCTGCCTCCGGCTCGACGTAGGTACCGTTCTTCTTCGCGATGTGACGCGCCTCGGCCTCGAGAAGTTCGGCGCGAAGATCGCGCTGTATATCCGCATCGCCACCCTGTCCCGGCTGTCTATGCTTGAGTGTTGTGTGCGCTGGGAGCAGTCGCTGGTGGTAGGCGGGTCCTCGCTGGGCTTCTTTGCCGCGCGCGGGATCGAACGTCGGTCTGTGGGCGGTCGTCATTGTATCTTTCTATTATTTTTCGATGGTACGATGGGCTGGCACGGGTTTCGGAAGTCTTGCGCGTGGTTGAGGTGGTGAGTAGGTGATGTGTAGAAGAATTGGTGCACAGAAGCTTGAACTCGTAAATCGCGCTAGAGGGCCGGCGATTACAATTCCCCGCCGCCGCATTTTCTATGGCTGTTACAACAACTACCATATCACCAACAACAACCTCACGCATTTACTGCAGAAGGTTAAGATGCCTCGAGAAGCTGAGATATCGCTTAATGAGCGCGAGTTCATCAAGCAGGCGCTGCAGGAACAGATACGAATTGACAGACGCGCATTCGACGCCTTCCGCCCACTCGAGCTCACTTTTGGAGAAGAGTATGGCGTCGCAGATGTTCAGTTAGGCAAGACAAGGTACATTAGTAACTGGGGGTTCATGCGCGCAAGCTAACACTTCTCAGAGTCATTGCGCGCATATCAGTAGACGTGACGACACCATTACCAGAGCGCAAGTTCGATGGCATTTTCCAAATAGTCACAGAATTCTCTCCAATGGCCTCCCCAGCCTTTGAAGTTGGCCGGTACGTTCTTCTAGATACCTACCAGACCTTCGGTATATCTGACTGAAAAATTAGCCCTACCGATGCCGAAGTCATCCTCTCGCGCATCCTCGAGAAAGCCATCCGTCGCTCCAACGCTCTTGACACCGAATCGCTCTGCATCATCGCTGGCTTAAAGTGCTTCGCTCTCCGCGCCGACGTACACATCATCGACCATGACGGCGGGCTGATCGATGCATCGTGCATAGCCGTCATGGCTGCGTTACAACACTTCCGAAGACCAGACGTACAAGTAGAAGGCGAGAAGGCGACCATTCTCAGTGTGCGCGAGCGCGAACCCATACCGTTGTCAATTCTACACCAGCCGCTCTGTGTTACGTTTTCATACTTCGAGGGAGAGATATTTTTGGTGGATGCAAACTTGGCTGAAGAGCAAGTCAGGCAGGGAGAAGTCATTCTCACAATGAACAAGCACGGCGAACTGTGTCAAATTGCGAAGTACGGAGGAGCGACAATAAACCCGCTGGCTTTACTGAATTGCACGAACGTTGCTCTGCAGAAGGTCAAGGAGATGAACGCATTTATTCAGAAAAGGCTTGAAGAGGACGCCAAAGAAAGGGATGCTGGAGGACTAATGGCAGAGCTTAGTGCTGAGAATGCTAGGTGAGACCTCGCACGAGGCAGAATTACCTTACAAAAGACGACACGTCTGGCCAACAGCCAGTCTGCGATGCTTCCAAATACTCGCATCTTGGGCGCCGCTCAAGTTCGTCCGAGCATTCCATCCAAGAGGAAAGTTTCTAGAACAGGACGCGCCGCGAGCCCACTGATGATGTGGGTCGGTGGTCGGCGGCCCCTTGAAACGCTACTGGGAACACCGAAGACCAAATCGCGAGATGCGAATTTAGAAGTAGCATGCGAATGTGGCTACGGATCGAGAGTTCATGTGAGGATGTCGATCTATATACAGCTGTCGAGATCAGTTTGCTATAAATTTACCTATTTAAATGCATCTCGACCTGCAATCGCGAAGTATGCTCCCATCTTCAAACCCGAAGTTCTAGATTTTGGAGTTCACAAAGCGGTGACGTAGCTGACAAAGCCCGACCGCGTCGCGCGACACCTCGGCCCACGCTCCCTGCATTTCCACGCGACACACCAACACCTTAATCGAATGATATCTCCACATGCTCATTAACAGCGGACAAATTGTTGTCCTTCAAGCGGACCGAGATGTCTGCAGTGATATATAGCTAAGATCCCGCATCATGGTTACTACACTGCAGTTTCAAAGTCGCTTCACTCCAATCTTGAACATTGCGTCATCAAGGGTCTCGCCGCATTACGTCTTCTATCCTAGATACCAAGCATCCGGCGCATCCTCACAACGTCTCTGCTCTCCACACTGAGTCTCTTCACCCAGACTTTCTACAATTCACAAAGCCCAGCATGTCGTCGAAACTCGTACCTTCCGACCCCGCCAGCGTTATGGTGATTCGCGACGTTGTTCCGCGTGTGATTACCACTCTGTCAGTGCCCTTTTGGAGATTCGGTCGCGTGAAGATTGGCGGAAGAGGAACGATTGGTATGCTGTGCCCAACGAATACTTCACATGCAACTGCTAACGCGCAAGAACAGTGCGCCTTGAATCCGGTTCTCTCGCCGTCTTCTCTCCCGTCGCATTGACCGAGGATGTCAAGCAGAAAGTATCTGAGATGGGCGAAGTAAAATACATCGCCGCCCTAGACGCAGAAGTACGTATCAAGTCCACCAGAAGACCCGCAATCGTCGCTAACATTATACGCCACAGCACCACATCTTCCTCGGCCCCTGGCACAAAGAATACCCCAACGCGCAAGTCATGGGCCCCGACGTCCTCCCCGAAAAGCGCGCAAAGCAAAACGACGAAAACGTCCCCTTCTCGATCCTCTTCAGCGCCGACAAACGCGTCGAGACCATCTCCCCCGAATTCGACGCGGAGTTCGATTGGGAATACGTCCCTTCGCACGTCAACAAGGAACTTGTTTTCCATCACCGTCCCACCCGCACTCTCATACAGGCTGATCTCATGTTCAACCTGCCTGCTACTGAGCAGTTCAGCAAATCAGGGGTCGACCCGAATAGCGGCATCTTGACCAAGATCTTTGGGGCGCTGCAGAGTACAAAGGGTGATGCGAAGTGGCAACAGAGGACTATTTGGTATGGAACTAGTGCGAGTGATAGGAAGGGCTTCTCGGCTAGTATGGAGAGGATCAATAAGTGGGGGTTCAACAGGATTATCCCTTGCCATGGAGATGTCATGGAGGGAGATGGTAAGGGCATCTTCGAGAAGGTCATGAGGTGGCATTTGGATGCTGCCGCGCAGGGCAAGAAGAGTACCTGAGTGTGTTGACAGAGATGATGGGGCGTTTGGGGTGGTGCAAAAGCGAGATGTGTACATCGAAGAAAAGCGTGGAGTTGAGGTGGGTGGACGATGATACCAGTGGATGAGGGGTTGCTCTTTCTTCATATGTACTAACAACATAATTATATCCTTCATCCTTGCCAGCAAGAACACTTCATGAATAATCGTATCATTTACTTCCTACCCACCCAATCCGCCATCTCAATATCGTCAGCGAAGTTCTGCTTCCTGACATCTCTCCCGTCGTAGCCACCTTTCATCTTCTCCTTCTGACCAGTCCAGATCGACGCGATACCAGCCAAAGTATAAGGGTTCTTATCGAACCTTGCCGCCGGTGCCGGAGGCTGGACCACTACAGGCGGCGTTTGCTGGACCGTATCTTGATACCCACCCGCCGTATCCCCAGGCTGCTCGAAGAGGATGTCCTCACTATACCCCGGATACCCATACGGCGAAGCTTCCGGCTCCCGCTGTTCGTGCGGGTTGTGATGCAGATGCGGGTGCGGTGAATGCAGCTGCGGAACATGAACATTTGGATGCATAACATGATCCACAACCCCCATAACCGTCTCCTTCACCCCATGTGCCTCGCCGTTCTTCCCTTCTCCCTCCCTCGCCTTATTCGGATCCTCGTATCCCCTCCCTCCCTTCTTTCTCGCCATACCCTTATTAAACTTCCCGTACCTCGCCGCTTTAGCCATATAGTACGCGATACCCAGGCCTACGCCTAACAAACCTACAACAGGCGCACATGTCATAAGCAGCCAGGCTACATGCAGTAGCAAGTCGTTCAGCCAAAGCTTCTTCTTCGACGTCTTGTATTCTGTGTCCGAGAGGTGTGTAACGAACCAGGGGATGTGATACACGAGCGACTTTTCGAGGAGGGCGAGGGTGAGCGTGGTTTGTATCGTGAGGAGAGAGAGACATGCTACGCGCGACCAGTGGGTTACGAGGGGTTGGTTGATCGGGCGTGATTTGAAGGCTGTCCATTGTTTTGTGTAGGGTGCGAGGGCGCGCTCGTGGAGGTCTGGTGGTGGGGGTGGTTTCGGTTCTTCTTCTTCCTCGTCCGCTGGCAGGCCTTGTAGCCTTTCTCTCTCTTGGTCTGCGTTCTTTTCCTGTGGCTTTTCGTTCTTGGTGAAGTAGAGGAGGCTTATTGGGGCGCGCCATAGGATGAAGAAGGGGAGGACGATGGCGAAGAGGACAAGGCTGATGAGGATCTGTACAGTGATGGTGAGGGCTTTGATCAGCCGGTCAGGCTGCATGATGGTAGGCGATCGTATTCGGAGGTAGCTGCCAGAGTTCTGGACATATTGGGCGTTGCAAGACGTAGGGATATCTCAGCGAGTAGCATGGGCGCGTGAAGGCTACTTGTGATGAAGTTGGAAAGGAACTTCGTGGAAGACAACTGGTGAAGCAGGAGAGCTGTCTTCACGATGCTGTACCATGTGACGTGCCCCATCAATACGTTATTCTATACTCTGGTGGTACATATTCCAGGCCTAGCCCTTCAAAGACCTTCTTCTCAGCATCTTCGGGCGTACCCTCGACTCCATCGGGCCCTTCCAGCATTATGGCTTCGCCGTTACTTCGACTTCGGATCCCGCTGCTATCGAACTTCCAGCCTTTGATGGCTTTCGCATACCGCCTCAGATCACGCTGAAAGGTGGTACCGCCACTCCAACCCAAGACTGCGCAACCAACTGACCGCCAAGGCGCAATAATGATGTCGACGCGGCGGTGAATAGCAGGGTTCTTCGCTCTTGGGTTCTCTGCAAGATCCTCCTCACGAGTAGGCCACGCTGGATCTTGCCACACAACGAGGGCTTTGTCAAGCGTATCAAAGCCCGCGCCGGCTCCCTTGGCAGATCGAAGAGGTAGCGCATGTTGACCACGATTAGTGTTCTTCAAGCTCATTGTAAGAGTGTGAGTAATCCACTCAGATTCCTCCAATGACTCAACAATCTCTCGGACCAAGCCCGCTGTACTCTCTAGCTCCGGGTGCGACACGATCAAGTCCACGTCGCCAGAGTCTGTCTTGCCACGTCTGTACCCGCCCACAATCGTGACAGTAATGCGTTCGTCGCGAAGCTTCACAGCGTGTTCGCGAACAACAGCGGCAATTTGCTCAACTTCAGGGCGCGGAATAGAGATCAAGAATTCGTCATAGTACTTGACGCCGATTTGCTGCACTCGGTCCAGGTCGTTCCAGCCAAACTCGATGATATCATCCAATTCAGTCCAGTGGTTGTTGTAATAGAATTGGCGTGCGGTCTTGGCTCCAACGCCCCAAATGTTGTAGAAGGAACGCAAGACTTTCATTGATTCGTCGGCCTCGAAATCTTCGACTGCTTGAATCTTGCCAGTGTTCTTCCACTCTACAAAAAGAACTTCAGTTTTCTCGTCACAACCCGGTAGCTGAGCGATCTCTCGGGGGTGACTAAGTCTGTACGGATATGCAGCGATAGAAGCGACAATGGTTGAGTAAGCACGAACACCTATGTCGTCGTCGATCAAAGTTCGAGCAGTCCTTATCTTCCTGAGCTGGTCGAGGAAGTCTTCATTGGGTCCGTTACCAGGTGTGAAGCGCTGACATGAGTACTTGACGCCTTTCTTCACCCATTCGGGTACTGCAGGAATATCACTGTCCTCGCCTTCGTACTCACTGGTCGTTTGCTGCAGTAGATGTGCAGCTTGTGAAGCATACGAGTGACCGACAGGCTGGGAAGAGCGGGCGAAAGCCTTTCCATCGAAGCGATTAGAAGTGTGATTTCCGAATCTTTGCGGTTGATAAGTGCTTTTCCTTGTGGTCGTCTTCATGTCTAGTTTCGCGCGATCTAAGATGTCTTGCACCGGATGTGGTCGTGTTGCCAAGAGTGTCTGAGATGCCGGCGCTACTTTTGTGTGCGCGCCGAAAATGTCTTTGATAGACTTCTTATTCAATGATTTAGGCCGTTCAATGACTTTACCCGTGTAGACCAAGTTGTCTCCCAATGGAAGTAGATGACCTGCAGTTACACAAGCTTCTACCCAGTCGAACTTGATAACCCAGATGGTATCGTGAGACGAATCCTCGAACAGTAGCGGAACCTGTGAGCCATTGTCGGATCTCGAGGGGGACGAGAGAGGAACGTGGTGCTGCTCAGTCTCAGAGCCGATGCCAGGCTCTTCCTCAGTGGTAGAGTCTCCCTCGTCCGCAGATAACCGACCTGACGTTTTACCAATCCTTCGCCTCTTGTTGGAGCGATCCTGTGCCTTCACAGGACTAGCTGGCCGTTTCGGCGTGACAATCTCCTGAACAACCAGCTTTCGAGCCCTCAATTCGAACTCGGCCCTTCTCTTTGTACCCACCTTCCCAACAAAGACCTTTGCCCTGGAGACATCGGTAGTAAGCGGTGCGTCGTACTGGCGCAACGTTTCCTTGAGCAGACTCACTTCCTCGTCCTTCAGATGCGCAGTGAAGATTGCAATTGGCGGGAGTCTGCTGAGGTCGAGGGCCTGTGCGGATATCGTGGATGTTGGTGATAGCGATCCTGGGCGTATTGTCTGGGAAGAGTGTCCATGATCGTCCATATCGGGGTATTTTATGCTGAACCGATTCCTCCAAGCAGGGGTTGTCAAGACGTGTCCAAGAGACGCTTTCTGTGCCTTCGGCTGTCTAGTTGAGATGTCCAGCTGATCATTATTTGAATAGCCAATATAAGCGCGATGTTATGTGATGTCTAGGTAACTGTCCAAATGAGTATAGAGTCTTCCCAACGTCGCGCGACAGTGATGACGTCCGCGTGATGTGGAGGCTGGGAGTGTTTGCTCTGTTTGCCTTCCAAGGTTCGATCGCTCTTGCACGCCCGTGCGTCGAGTAGCGCCACGCTAGTGTTAGCGCCCGCGTTTTGACGCGCAATCCATCTGCTACATTCGTTTCATCATGTCCAGCCCAACGTCTTCCAGGCTAAATCTCCGGAATCCTCCAGTTCAACCGCCCGGCGTGCCTGTATCAGACTTGACATCCGCAGACAACTTGGCATGACGGTGGCGTCCCAGGAATCATGCGAGTCGAAACAGCACGCCTAGCCGCAAAGCCGGCGATCGAAACACACTGATCTAGATCTAGAAGTTGGGGAAACATCAGCCGAGCAGTCAAGGCCACAGGCTGGGGGCGCTGATGCACGTCTGGCTCCCCTCAACGGATCTCTGGTTTCTTCCAACTACATCGGGCAGGTCCTTCAGGCGTACTGGGCCCCAGCGTCTCGAAGTTATGCAATGGTTCGATGAATCCGCACCAGCGTGTTCAATGCGGCCACAACTGCGCCAACACCACGGGCTAAAGATTGCGCGAACATCCCCTCCCTGCCGTTGATCGTTTCTCTTGGTGCGCGGACCGCTGTTTCGGAATAATTGACAGGCAGACGTAACCTCTGACAGGCCTTCCACCTACCGGTTGGTGGATATATAGTGAGCTTGTTTGGATAAGCTGCGGGTGATGATGCACTTTGGACGAACCGGTCTTCGTTCGCTACTACCCCGGCCGTTCTTGCAGCGGATATACATGTGGATCGCCACTCATTAACGTGGTTTATCTCTTCTTGTTGCACACTTACTCGGGCCTTCGACATTCTTTTCTTCATTCATTTCGCTACTTTTGACAAGAGCGCTGGTCTCTAAGGGTAGCTAGACTACGCCCATTCAGCTTTGACAGCAACCCATTTCGATCTCACTGAACATCTACACCACCCACCCGGCATTCCTTCGTTTACCACACCAAAAATGCGCTCCTTGATCATCATGGCCATCGTGGCCCTGTTCGCTTTCGCGTCTGCCATGCCCATATCACCTTCGGCGCCCCGCCTCCAAAAGCGAGCTGAACAGTATCGCCTACAAGGACTGAGAGAGGTATGTTGCGCGCGCCATCGAACATGAAAAGGACATCGTGACTGACTGTCATAGTTCGAAATCGCCGAACGTCTATCATCTTCCGCATCATCAGAGGTTGACCCATGGCGCACTCGAATGAACCACAAGTTCCATGCTCTTTTTGACCCGACACCAACCGACGAAGAGGGAGCTTCGTATGATGACGACCGAGAGGACTTTTCTGGAGACGTAGCACCGGGATCTGTGGAAGCGCCACAAGTCCTCCCCAAGGCTTCAGAGGAAGACAGTCTCTTCGACCGTCTATGCGCCATGTTCCACCGGGCGGAGAGCAGCTTGGGGTACGAAGGCAAGGAGCTTGATGTGCGTCGACCTGGAGGTGTGAGGGACTGGAAGCGATCTTATGGAGGTTTCCGACGATAGAGTGCAATCTAACTTTTCATCACTTCACCCCATATGATCATGAACGAGACATCTGGTTCATCTCTAATTGATTCCGTGGTGATCCCAAAGCCTATAGCCCAACTACCCAAATGATGTTCGCGCCCGCTGAGTTAAGTAATAATCCAAAACAATGCCGCCAATCCTCAAGCGCCTGACTAGTTACCCAAAAGACGTGTGTATGACTAGACACCCATGGTGAAATCATGTTCTATACCCGGAGTTACACTGTAGATTGTTAGATGATGCTTTTCTTTGAAGTATGGAGTGAACTTACCTGGCCATGAACTTCAGGAAGACGACAAGATACTGGTCCACGCGGATAGCTACCTCCTCGTCGCCGCCCTCACCGAGAACCTCCCAGTCGTCCTTGCCCTCATCGCCGTCCTTGTTCTTCGCTTGCTCAGTAAGCTTGAGCAGCCGTGTATCATCGACAAGCGCCTCCATACCGCTGTCGAGCTTGCTGACATCCTTGCCGGCTTTAAGCTTAGCGAGTCGCAGCTTCAGAGCAGCGTCGGCGCGGTCAAGGAGGACTTTCATGACGGATGCATGTTTGCACGGATGTACTGAGGCGGTCTTGAGAGGGTTCTCAAAGAAAGGGAAGTCCTCGATGGTGACGGTCTTGTCCTTGTAGTCTCCGACAATGTCCTCCATCATTTCTTGCGGTTTGAGCGGAACGGACGTGGAGCCGTAGCCCGAGAGATACAATCGCGGTGTTCGGTAGTGGGCGGAGTATGTGATGTAGAGGGTGTATGTGCGGAGGGGTCTATTGGGTGTCAGTCAGTCTGTAGAGCGCTGGCAGCAGGCGGGCCAACTCACGCTTTTGTATTTGAGTCGGCCTTGGGGTCTCTTATGATGGCTTCCTCGTCGTCTTCGATATCCTCCATGTCGGGTATCTCGTCATCCTCCTCTGCCGCGCCTAGGTTGCCGCTCTCATCGACCGTCCGCACGTCGC